ACGTCGGATGCCGTACCGGGCGCAGCTACTGCACGAGGAGAGTCGTCGGAGCTACCGCCGTGGTTGACGGCGCCGATGGCGGCGGCCGCCGCTGTCGAGCGGTACAGAGGCCGCTGCATCATCATCCCGCCGCCGCCGCCGCCGGCAGCCGCCGCCGCCGCCGCTGCAGCCGCCGCGCCCACGGATAGCAGCGACCCCGTGGCGCCGTGCGCGGTACGATACGGCTGCTGATGCTGCTGTTGAGGTGCACCGTACACCAAACTGGCCACATCATACGGTGACACGCCGCCGCCGCCGCCGCCGCCGGCGCTGCCCCCGACGGCGATGCCGGGAGAGGAGGAGGCGGCGCCGTAAACGTGATGTACGTGGAAAGTGGGAAGGGTCGCGGACGCCGTCGCCGTTGCCATCAGCGGCGGAGCCGCCGCCAGCGAGACGCCGCCGCCGCCTACTAGCGTGAGGGTGATGATGGGGCCGCTGGTGGTTCCCCTCTGAACCCTCTTCACGCTCATAGTCCTGACCTGCGTGGGCCCCACCCGGGAGGTGGCGAAAGGGGGGAAAAGGGTGTTTTAGAGGTGGTTTCGGAGAGGTGGTTTCGGAGAGCCAATTCGGGTTGGGGTTGTTATTCGACGCGAACGAGACCTTGCCTTGGGGGGGGGACTTCATGAATTCGGCGTGTTACCAGGAGCCCCGGGGCCGTGGTTTTTCCAGCCTCATGCCGTACAGGACGTCGTACGAAAAGAGTTTACGGACATATTGCAAGCGGCCGCGGATCTGCAGCGGTTTCTACATTACAATGCTCCGAAACCCCTGCCAAACAACACAGACCTTGAACACCAAGAACTGTACAGAACAGAAAACAGCAAAAAACACGGACTCACCTCTCCCATCGGCTGTGCAATGCCGTACGTGCCAAGCATTCCAGCCGCCGCCGCTGCAGCCGCCGTTGCCGTACGTTCTGAGCGACGCTTCTGCGGCACCACATCAAAGCTCGTACGGCGAAAGCGCCTCATGAAGCCGCCGGTGCCGCCCCCGCCGCCAGTGCTACGGAGGCCGCCGCTTCCAAGCCCCACGGGACTTGGCGCAGCCCCCGCGCATGACACGGCGCGGCCGTACGTTCCAAAAATCCCCCGCTGGGCTGCGTGAGGTACGGCATTGATGGCGGCGAATGTTGGATCGTTCTGTAGCATGCCGCCGAGGCTCCGACGAGCCAGCAGCGGCGGCGGAGCCGCGGGGGGAGTCGAATGCAAGCCGGTCAAGCTGGACCGCCGTGCGGCTGCCGTACCCAGCATACCTGCTCGCAGCCGTGGCGGCGGCGGCGGCGGCGGCGGCGACAACGCCGCTGACACGTCGCCGCCGAAGCGGGACACGCCCAAGATGCTAACGACGGAGCTCTTTAACGTCTTGTCGAGTCGTTCCGACAAGAACGATGTGCCTCCGCTACCGCCGGCCGCGGCAGCGGCAGCTAAATCCGTACCGGTGACGTGCCCCGCCGCAGCCCCGGAGGCGAGCTGCGCCAAACTCGCTTCCGATCCCGGGGCGGTGTCCCGGGGGGCCGCCGCCGTCGCGCCGCCTGCCGTCGTCTGCGGCTCCGTACAGCTGCCGGCGCCCGGTTGGTAGTCCGATGCCACAACGGCGGCGGCGGCGGCGGCCGCAGCAGCGCCAGCTTCTTCAAGGGCCGCGGCGGCAGCCGCAGCGGCCGACGCGACGACGGCCGCGGCGGCAGTTGGATCGCCGTGCCCCAGCTTCATCAGCCGCTGCTGCATCTCGAACGTCCGAGCGCTGCTAGAAAACCTGCGAATGAACGAATGCGGCGGAAGCGGCAGTGGCTCACATGCATATACATAAATACATACATACATGCATGCATACGCACTGCCATCCCCCCCACACACACCCAACCTACTGACGCACCTGCACAGGTACAACACCAAGGGCTGCGAGTGGCCGCGCTTCTTCAGCGCCACGGGCATCATGGACACCTCATCGAGCCCCACCGCAGTAAGAGCCTGCGACCTCGGCGGCGGCACCTCCGTAGCCGCCAGCCAAGGCGCGCAGTAGCCGCCGCCGCCAGCGGCAGCGTCAGCCGCCGCCAGCGCTGCTGCGGCGGCGGCAATGCCGCGGTAGCCCCCATTATCGAGTTGTGGAAAGTACGGTCCGCCGCTGCCGCCAGACACCATCTGGCTGCTGCCGCCGCCACCGCCGCCGCCGCTACCACCAGCAAACCCGCTGCCGCCGCCGTCGACACTGATGTGTACGGCAGAGGGGTGATCCTCGCAGCGCGAGTGTGCTTGGGAGCTGAGGAGTGATGCAGCAGCCCCGCCGTCGTAGCTGCTGCCGCCGACGCCGCCGCCGACGCCGACGCCGCCAGGTGGAACTCCCTGAGTATAACGACGGGACGACGTGCCCAATAGCGAGCTTCTGCCGCCGCCGCCGCCGGCAGCCGCTCCTCCTCTCGCTCCCGAGGCAAAGGAACTGCTCGTAGACCTCCGCCAGGAGCTCAGATGGTTCAGTTGTTGAACCGGCTGCGGTACGGCAGCGACGGCGGCAGCGCCAGCAGCGGCGACGTTGGCGGGCGCGTTGATAAGCACCGGGAAGCGTGGCGGCGCTGTGCCCGGGCTGCCTCCGGCAGCGCCGCCGCCGCCGCCGCCGGCTGGACTGAGCTCCAGGTCCGGACTGCTCTTGCTGTTGTTGTTGGCGGGGGGCCCGGTGGCGCCGATAGCGACTGTCGTGGGTAGCGGCGCCGTCAGCGGCGCCGCGTCGACGGCTCTGACAAATTGCTGGTGCTGGTGCTGGTGCTGGTGCTGGTGCTGGTGCTGGTGCTGGTGCTGGTGCTGGTGCTGGTGCTGGTGCTGGTGCTGGTGCTGGTGCTGGTGCTGGTGCTGGTGCTGGTGCTGGTGCTGGTGCTGGTGCTGGTGCTGGTGCTGGTGCTGGTGCTGGTGCTGGTGCTGGTGCTGGTGCTTGTGGAATTGGTTGTGTGGGGTGGTGATGGGATGAAGGCTGGGAACTTGCACTTGGAGATGGCCCGAAGACGCAGGACCACCGCCGCCGCTGCCGCCGCTGCCGCCGCCGCTGCCGCCGCTGCCGCCGCCGCCGCCGCCGCTGCCGCCACCGCCAAGTGAGATAACCTGCACACTGGGCAGCGCCGTCGAGGCGCGACTGCCGGACGCCGGTGCGGCGGCGCCGCCCATGAAGACCCGCTGCGAGTCGCGCTGCAATAGCAGGAGGTGCTGCTGCTGCCGCTGTCGCAGGAGATCGGCGGGTGGCAGCGGCGGTGCAAGGCCGTCATAGCCGCCGTGACGAAGGGACGAGGCGCGGCCGGCAGCGAAAGCCGCGGCAGCGACGCCTTCGCCGCCGCCGCCGCCGCCACCGTAGCGGAGGGACGACGAGAGACCGGCGGCGATGACTGCCTCCGCCTCCGCCGTCCGGCCGTCGCCATGGCGCAACGAAGAAGCGCGACCAGCGGCGAAGCCAGATGACGCAAATGAGGGCGCGGCGGCGGCGGCGGCGGCGGCGGCGGCGCTGCTGGCCTGGATACGCGTTAGCGGCGGCGCTTTGACGGCCATGACGACAAAGGCATCAGCATTCGCACCGCCGCCGGCGCGGCTCCGACCTGCAGCACCACCGAACGCGGACTCCGTCGGGCAGGCTGCTGGGAATCCGCTCCCACCGCCCGTGTGTAAGTCCGGGAAGCGGCGGCTCACAGGATCCTGGTTCCGGAGCGGAGAGGCCGAGCCGTGCCCCTCCGTTACAGCTGCTACTGCCACACCACCGCCGTCGTCGATATCGTTGGCAGCGCGGGCGACACCCGCCCCAGAATTCTCTGTTCTGCCGCCGCCGCCGCCGCCGCCACCGGCAACTGCATCCCCGCTCAGTTGCCGCCATAGCTCCGATTCCCGGACACGGCGCACCGCAGCGAAGCCTCGTGTTGCCTCCGAGTCATGAACGCTAGGTGGAGGATCGTTTGCGTGTTGCGGCGCCCCCGCCGTTACTGCTACTGCCAGCTGCTTTTGCGGGGGCAGCTTTAGCGCCACGTCTGCCTCCTCCTCCCCCTCCTTCTGGTCTTCGTCCTCTCGGCCTCCGTCGGGCTCCTCCTCCGTCGCCGCTTCCGCCGCTCCGCCGTCCATGTCCCCTAGCGTCTCAAGCCGTCTCAGCAGCAGCGTCGGCTCCGCGTAGATCGGCAGCGGCGGCGGTGGCGGCGGCGGAGGTGCCTGCGGCGGGAGCATGTACGGAGCCAACGTCGGCGGAGGGTTCTCATGGTGCTCATACGCCAACGGTGACGGCAGCAGTGACGGCGACGGCAGCGACAACGGCCGCGTGGAGATACTTGCACTAACGCCAGGCCGTACCTGCCGCCGGGAGCCATCCGTACATTCAGTTACCGCATCCGCTGGGTCATCCTCTGACATGCTGACGCCGGCGGCGGCGGCGGCGGCGGCGAAAGTCACCGTTCCCACGGCCACCGCCGTGCCCGGCAAAGACCGTCGCCACATGACCGCCGCCATCGGCGGCAACGAGGAATCACTACAGCCGTTCAGCCCCGGCGGCGGCTGTAGCAGCACGCTGGATCGCCCACCAGTCCAGACGGATCCCGCTTCCGTCGTCGTACCCGCCGAGCACGGTCCCCCATGCCCCACGCCGCCGCCGCCACCGGCGCCTGCACAGGCGGCGGAGCCGCTTGGCTGTTGCAGTGCCGTACGCGACGCCTGGCGGCTATCTGGGTTAAGATTTGACATCGTTCGCGCTGTACGGGACGCGGCGCGGCTCTCCGGCTTCAGCGGCGTGCAGTACAGAGGGTTTTGTGAGTACGTGTAGCTTCCCCCCGAAAAGGGTGTGCTGTACCCAGACGGAAGGCGGGACCCGCCGCCGCCGCCACCGCCGCCGCCGGCGGCAAGCAGCTGACTGCTGTTGCTGCAGCAAATATCGTTGTCGGCATCAGCCGTCAGCTGGGGATGCTGATGCATGTACGGTATGATGTACGGCGTACGGCCGCCTCGCTGCCCGGCGGTCAGCTGTATGTCGCCGCTGTGGTAGCTTGGTCCAGCGTCACGGCTGGTCGGTGCCGTACCCGGCTGGATCGACGGGTCCGTTAGAAAAACAGTGTCCAATAAGCTGCTGCTGCGATGCAGTACGGCGCCACCGCCGTCGCCGTCGGCCCCCGGCGCGAGGTTCAGAAGCGCCGCCGCGGCGGCAGCCGCCGCCGCCGCCATTGCGGCGGAAGGACCCTCCGGGTCCTCGTGACCTGACTCCTGGCGGCCCACCGCCGTCAGCGTTGCCGACGGGCGCAATGTCGTACTACACGGATCGCCGTCGGTGGCGGTGGTGTCGACGGGTGGCGTGCCCCTGATGTCGCACCCTGTGCTGGTTTGGCGGTGCTCACGGGGGAATTCACCACCAGCAGCACCACAACCTGTGAAGCAAAACAAAACAACGCGTCGCAACGTTGGTGAATGCCCGTTCTGTAGTAAACAGTTCAAACAGAATTTAAACAAAACTCAAACAGATTATAAACAGGATTCAAACAGAATATAAACACCATTCAAACACCATTCAAGCAGAGTTCAAACAGAATATAAACAGGATTCAAACATAATTCAAGCGCAATTCAAACAGAATTCAAGCACAATTTAAGCACAATTCAAACAGAATTCAAGCGCACTTTAAACAGAATTCAAACAGAATTCAATCCCGTGAAAACAGATTGGGTCTAGGCGTAACCCGTTTTAGTGCATCAGCCCCAACATCGAACCGACCAAGCAGTGCCCACCTTCGCTCTCCTCGGCGTGCCCCGCTTCCACGGCCTCAACCGATGCAACCACCATGCCAACCGAAGCGTACGACACCATCTTGGCAGCGTACGACGCCGCTTTGCCCTCGTAGCGGACGCGGCCTGTTACACATTATTTTTCCAAAGAGAATTAGGAGGGAGGCGGATCAAATCGGGGGGCACAGGTCGGGTTGTTTCATCACATCTCACATGTGTATATGTATGTTGTTACAGGGTGGTTAACTTCGCCAGCGGCCCCCTTTCCCGGGGCAGTCCCTGCTCTCCCCTGCTAGAGGGGCACCCTAATCCGTCACCCCATCCGACTTCAGAATGTATTCGTTGGGTTCGGCAACTCACCACCAGCATCCAACCAAATCTAGCGGATCAACGGCGCATCAACTTAGTTCCTGGTCAGCTCGCAAGTTGATATTATCACGTCCTACACCGTCCATATGATGGGGGGCCACCTCCCATTTCATCACTCCTCAAACACCCGAGGATATGTCAAACACCCGTGTATATGTCAAAAAACCCTAAGTAATGATACCACGGTCTTTCCCTCCCTTCAATCCACACGATGTCGTACCAGTCAATGGATCCAGAGAAGCCTTTAACGGCCCGAAGCTGATGGCGGCTTTGATCCGCGGACCGCGGTACAACACCATATCGCCCTCAGCGCCACTGGCGGCAGCTGCTGCCGCCACCGACGCCGCCGCCGGGGGAGGAGCTGTGGCAGCGGTAGCCGACAAGGCGGCCGCGGCCGCCGCCGCCGCCGGTTGCGACCGTTGCGCATCACTCTCCTCCGATATTGCCCAGGTAGTCGTAGTGCCCACGTGCTTTCCTGGCGGCCGTGCAGGGAATGGACTGGGCGGAGGTGTCGTCGCGGTGCGAGTTGGCGGCGGCGGCGACGGCGGTGTATGCGTATGCGCGCGCGAAAAGCAAACGCCCGACGTCCACGTCATGGCATTTCTGTAGTCAGGTTCGCCATCAGTCGTCGACACCGCATAACTAACGTCGTACGGCATGGTGGACAAAGTAGAGCCGTAATTGACCATACCGAGCGGTGCCGACGTGGCACCCGTCTCCGACCTGGCGGCATTTGCCGCCGCCGCCATCGCCAATGAGGACACTGCCGGAGTGGCCTGACGCTGCAGCGGCGGCGGCATATGGCTCGGCGCGCTTTGACGCAGCCGCGTCGATGCCCCACTGCCATTCCATCCAACGGCCCAGCCGCCACCGCCGCCGCCGCCGCCGGGTCCCATTCCGCTGCTGGTGGCACCGCCGGCTGGGCTACTATTGCAGCCCGCCGAGGGTGAATTCCCGCTATGGCCTTTCACGACAAGATTCCGGAAGGTCCTCCGAGCGCTACTGACCTGCGGGGCTGGCGGCGCCGGAGACACTGCAACCGCCGCCGCCGCCGCCGCAGCTTCCGTTGCAGCCTCCATCACGGCTACGAAGCCGCCGCCACCGCCAGTCAAGCTTCCAGAAGCCATGCTTAATTTCGTTGATCCCTGTCCAGATGCCGTACATCCAAAGTCTGCATCCTCCACAGACGAGGGTGGCGGCAGGGAGCCAGGTCCGTGACCCCGCCGCTGGGCAAACGGCGCCGCTGCCGCCGCCGCCGCCTGTGCTGCTGCATGCGAGGGCGTCGGCCCCGCCGCCGTCATCGCGTGCGAGGACCGTACATCCGTTAGCCCTTCGGCCCCGCCGCCGCCACCTTCGCCGCTGCCGCCAATAAGGGCCTTAGCCGCCGCCGCCGGTACGACAATTGCCTCAAATTGCTCATGCGCCAGAAGCTCCCGGCTCCAAGGAAACCGCAGCAAGTCCTCCTGCGCCTGTAAGGCCCAAAGAATAGCGTGGTATGGGTTGCGAAAAGCACCGACGACGGCGCCGGCGCCGCCAACCGCAGACGGCGGCGCCGCCGGCACCCCATGACAAGCGCGCAGCTGGTCTTCGCTGACGGCCGTCAATGCGGTGTGTGCCTCCGAAACCACGGCCGTATCGTGGCCCGCCGCCGCCATATTACACAGGCCGTGGCAAACCAACAGCCCGTACGACACTCGTCCAAGCGGCGCCTCCATAACGGACAGCCCCAACGATAGCTGCGTACGCGGCGGACGGTAATGCCAAACTCGCGGAAAGAGCCGCGGGCTGTACAGCGCATACAAGTCCGCGACTGCGCCAGGTTGTGGCGGCGGCGGCGGGTGCGTCAACGTTGGCGGCGCTGCCGCCGCGGCGTCGGCGTCGCCGCCGTGAAGCACGTGGCGGCCGGTGTACAGCAGGCGGCAGCGCTTAGTCAGCACGTCAGGATCAAGACGGTCGAGGGTTGCCGTACCGATGAGCACGTCGCCGCCATTGGCGGCGTCGCTGATGGCCTTGGCGGCCGCCAGCACTTCACCGCTGTACTTCATCCGCTTCGCGACGTCGCTGTACACCAGATCAGACCGGTGTCGTACACCTGTGTGCATGCCTGCAGCCATGCACGCGGCACATACGGCGATGAGGGTGGTCAGGTGTTTTCAACGGCTGTATGTACGACAAAACAGCGAAAAAAGTGGAAGCTGGGGACTTCGAAACACAGTCCGTTGCTCCGTCACGACCGGATGCCGTACACGACAAAAGGGCCCCAGGCGGGGTTAGATTCCTAGGTCGTCCCAACGGTCTGCGCAGGTCTGGTAGTCTGATCACAACCAACGTGACGAAGTAACAAAGCCAACGTGCCAAACCCCATGAAACCGTGTGCCGCCGTACGGCACGGGCGTAACGGCTGCGTCCGTACTCCAACAGGGTCCTGCTCCCCCAGTCCCAATTCCCTTCAAACCCAAAATGTCGTACACCGCGACATCGCGTCATCTACCACTATCGCACCTATGCGGACGAGCAAGCCCCGTTTCACGAGCGTGCAGTACGGCGGCGACGGCACGGCAGTGACGGAGGCGGAGTGGGCGGCGGCTTGGTAGCCTAATTCGCCGCCAGGCCCCCCCCCAGCCCCGTTCACAGATGTTCCCTTGTACGGGTGCGAGTGCGACTGCATGTGCAGCATCCGTTGCGCCGAGCTCCATCGCAATGGGCTAACCAACGGCGGCTGTGGCGGCGGCGCCGTCGCAGCCGCCAGGTCGGCGGCGCCGCCAGTACGGCGGCCCGTACCGGCGCTTGCGGATCGAGGCAGGCCGAAGCTGACGGCGATGGCGCCTGAAGAGAAGCGCCTGCCACCACACGATTTACTTCGGCTGGCAGCGAAACTGCCAATCGTTGCGCCAGCCTGACCCGCAGTCGCGTGTACGACAGAGCCGAAGCTGTAAGGCTTTCGAATAGCCGCCGGTGGCGTTGCGCCGGACGATTCGTACTGCGCGCCACGATCGACGTCAGATATGGTCCTGTGTGCGCCGTCGGCGTCGCCGTCGCCGTCGAGGCTGCCGACGACGACGCCAGTGACATTGACATCTCCGGCGCCGTCAACGTCGCCGCCGCCGCCGCCAGTATCGCCAACGACATTGGCATCCGTAGTTACGGCCGGCGACGTTGCGTCGTCCTCTTTGCATGCTGACACCCTTTGCGAGCTGGCGGGCAAGGAGCGGGAGCGGTTGAACGGCAGCGGGAACGACGCCGACGCCGCCACTAATGCCGTCGCCGTTGCCGTCGCCTTTGTTGCCGCAGTCGCCGTCGCCGATCCCGCCTCCGCTGACCCCCCGAGTACGGCAGCAGCGGCTACCGAAGAAGCCGCCATCGTCAATGTTGGCAGTTGAGGCGGCGCCGGAGCCGTCGAATGCCTGTACGGAAAGGATCCCCGAAAAACTGCCTTGACGCCATGCCAACGTGCCGTACCGCTAGTGCCGCTGAGCGCTGGGTCGGCGATGTGGGCGGGAACCTCGCGCCATAAGGCTCGCAACGCTTCGCCGACAGTCTCGATGCGTAAAGGCAGCAGCGGCGGCGGCGGCGGCGGGGCGACTGCTGCCGCTGCGGCCACGGCACTCATCATTGCCGTCGGCGGCACCGGGGACGAAGCCGCCGCCGTCGCGCCCGGTCCGCCGCTCGCAGACCGCCGCAAATGCGCGAACAGTCCTTCGCCGTTCCCGCCACTAGCAATCCTGGAGGTGCTTCCCGGGTCGGTGCTCGCTGTATGCGTCACGGCGGCGACGGCGCCGCCGCCGCTGCCCCCATTGGTGCAGTACACTCGCCGCCGTGAGCCCCACCTAGTAGCCAGCAATTTATTGAATTTTGACTGTACTGCAACGGGCTCAGACGCCGCAACCTCCGGCTCCGCCGCCGCGGCGGCGGCGGCGGCGGCGGCGGCGCCGTTGCCGCCATCGCACGTCGGCGCCGAGAATCCCGCCAGGCCGCCAGTTCCGCCGCCACCATGGGCGGCAGTGGAAGCGAAGCTGCCCTGCTGCGTTCCGGGCTGCAGCGCGCCGTGACGGCTTCCTTCGTTGGTGCTGTACGGCATGCTGTTGCGATGCTGCTGCGCCGCCGCTGGCTCTAGAGGGAGATCCAAGGGCACGTCAACGCCGGACCGCGCCAGCCACAGCGGCCGGCACTTTTCATGCGCCAACAGCTCACGCGGCCACGGCTCGTCCAGAAGGGCCTGTTGTACGGCAAGAGCAAACTGTACGGCATCGTTGGCGGAGAAGAAGGCGATGATGAAAGAATCGCCTGGCGGGCCAACGGAAATAGAACGACGAGGGATTGGAAAGGCGGGGAGGAGAGGCAAAGCGAAACATCGAAGCCAAGGTAACGCAAAAAACGCAGCACAATAAGGTCCGCTTCCGATCCCTCTGCTTGCAGCTGTTTGCAGCCCCCCTTGTAGCCCCTCGACACCCTCCTTCTCTTCGGACCGTCCACCTGCCCCCAACACGCCGTCACGTCCATACACAGCCGCTCACACGCGCACACATGTCCCCCACAGCCACATACAACTACAGGGCCCCCCTCCCACACACACAGCCATTACACATGCGCACATACATACATACGTACACAGCTACCTCTCCCTAGCCTAACTCACTCGTTTGCAACCCTTCTTCCCGCTATTTCTTTCCCCCGGCCCCCCGACGACTCACCCTCCGTCTGAGATTCGTAACCGCCGAATCGTACAGCTGTACGGCGCATGCAATCGTGGTGCAGATTGAACACGACGTCCATCACCCCGGGCGGGATTGCCTCCCACAGCACCTGCGACCGCCAGGGTAGGTGGGAGCGGCGCGTACGTGTGTGTATGTATTCTGTATGTATGTCTGTATGTGCAGACCGGTGGCAGAGCCCCGCTGGCTGACAGTCCCACGGAGGAATCTCTGGACCGCGGAGACAACGGACCACACAACGGGAGGGGCAACAGAGGACAGACAGACAGACAGACAGACAGACAGACAGACACACAGGCACACACAGACACACAGACTAGCGTCTAGACCCTAGAAGGTGTTGAGGGTTGAAATTAGGCAAGGCAGCTCGCGCACCCCCCCGTGCACCCTCCCGCCCGCCTACCTAGGCCCCACCCCGCATCCCCCGCATTCACGTTCCCACTGACTACCAAAACACACACACAGGGTCACACACACATACCATCCCGCACACAGCTCCCCGCCCCCGCCCCCTCCAGCCCCTCACACACGTGTCCACAGCCCCCTCCCCCGCCCCCCCCCCCCAGTCATGTCACCGCTCACCGTGCTGCCCTCCACATCTGACACCACGAGCTGGGGGGGGGAGCACCGCCCGAGTGGATATGCGGAGGGACGAGAGGGGGACGAGAAGAGGGACGAGAGAGGGATATGAATAAAGATTCCCATGCGCCGTGCGGCGCACTGCATTATGGAAAAGGCGCCCCGATGGAAACGGCGCCACCAATCGTCAGAGCTTTGGACACACACACACATACACACACATACACATTCTCCTGGACCCCCCTTCCCATCCCCCAGCCTCCCCCCCCCCCAACCCGGCCATACGCCCACCGTAGTGTCATCGCCCAGTCCCGGGTGTTCCGTCGGACCGTGACGCCGCCGGTGCTGCAGCCGCCGCCGGCGCCGCAGTACAGTGTAGTACACAGCGGCCGCCGCCGCCACCGCGGCGGCAAGAAGAACGACCACAACCACGGGAATCACCACCGCAAAATACACGACGGCCTGGTTGCCGGTGCCCTGAGTGCCCGCGTCCGAGCTGCTTGTTGAGTGGAAGTCGCTAAGGCCGATGCTGCGCGTGTGTGTATGTTTGTATGTATGTGCATAAGTCAGATAAGCCCAATCCACGTGGTGGCGTGGTGGGGTCGGTCGCGATGGCCCAGAGGGGCCACGAAAACACAAGGTGAGGGAGGGGGTGAGGCAGGAGGTGGGTATAGGGGTAAACTTCCCGTTACCATCAGCAGCAGCAGCAGCAGCAGCAGCAACAACAACAACAACAGGAACAACAACAGGAACAACAACATCAGGATGCGCAGTGAAAAGGGTGACGAATATATGTATGGAATATGTAAGTTTTTTCTAAAGCAAGCATGGTTTCGGAGGCGGCTGGGCAGGAGCAGCACTGGCGCGAACTGATGCACGGAAATAAAGGTCCCCCCGGTCGGCGGGCCCCCTAAGTTGGGGGATACCTCTGGGGAAAACAGATTCCGGGTGATTGACGATGGAGCTCGAATCACCCAGTCATCCAATAACCCAATCAGTTAGTTAGTCAGGTAGTCAACCAACAGTCAGTCAGGCAGGCAGGCAGGCTCCAGCAGCAGCCCACACTGCAATAATTACCGCAGATATCAGCAGATATCAGCAGACACCAGCAGCAACAGCAGCAGCAGGAGCAACAGCAACAACAGGAGCAGCAATGTTTTGTCGGTTTTGCCGTACCTGTAGCGGTACAGCCGCCGGATGGTGTCGAACCGCGGGTTGTGCGGGCCGTACACTCCGTACAGTTCCTCAGCCAGCTTGGTCATGGCGGTCGTGACAGTCATCTCCTGGTTGCTTAGGTGAGTCGCGTACACGTCCAGCAGGCGCCGGTAGGCGTAGGCTTGCACGGTGCGCACCTCCACCATCACGTTGCTGGAATCCAGCTGCAACGGCGCATGGAGGCGAACGCACACGCACGCGTGTGTGTGTGTGGGGGGGTGAAAAGTATTACTGAATTGTTACTGAACTGTTACTGAATTATTGCTGAATTATTACTGAATTATTACTGAATTATTACTGAATTATTGCTGAATTATTGCTGAATTATTACTGAATTATTGCTGAATTATTACTGAACTGTTACTGAATTATTGCTGAATTATTACTGAATTATTACTGAATTATTACTGAATTATTGCTGAATTATTGCTGAATTATTACTGAATTGTTACTGAATTATTACTGAATTATTACTGAATTATTACTGAATTATTGCTGAATTATTGCTGAATTATTACTGAATTACCATTGAACATATGACAAAACCTTTAAGCCCGTACCTACGCCCTCATAAATTCCTCGCGTCATAAATATGATCGATTCAAATACATTTCTTTTCTTTTTTTCTCTAGGTAGCCCCGTGCAATGCTGTTGCATACTTTATATTAATATCTTATGCAGCACCCCCTTATCAACCAATCGTACGACCACAAGCTGATGACGCGCACCTGACGCTTCATGACATCCAGGAACTCCCGAATGATGGGCTCGGGATAACCCCGCCGTACCCACTCGCCCACGTACGACGGATCAAAATGCTCGTACCTGCAGCACGAACACAGCAGCCCGCATACTGAAACAAAAGATGAGGATGCCAGAGAAGGAAGACACAAGAGCACCATGTGAGCAGAGCTTCCAAACGCCATGGGGTGCCGTACAGAACCAGGACAAAGGACGTGGGTGAGGCGTGTGTGTATGTGCGTGCATACATCCGTTCCAACGCGGCCCTAGTGACACGCGCTAGGTATGGTGTACGATCTAACGAGCATCGGCGACCACGATGTTAATCAGTAGAGACCCACAAACTAGGGTATCCCCGATAAATACCCCCCGATGGCTCATCGTCCCTCCCTTTTGCGCAAAAGGCACTAGGATGATAGGGTGGAAACCCGATGAGGATAGGGGCACGACACCAAGTGGGATCCACCAAAGGTTGTACATCGTACGGCGCATCCGTACCTGTACGGAGCCAGTTCCGTGTAGCGGCTGGTAACGAGTTCCCAAGACACATTCCGCGAGGCAAGGTAAGAGAAAAAGTTAAGGAGCGCTGTTTGGTGCCAGACATTCGCTTTGGCAGAGATGCCAGCGGACGCAGTGGATACGGCAAGGTACGGCGCACGGTTGACGAGCTGTACGGCGACTGCGTTGCTGGCGGTTACAAGCTCCTCCGCGAAGGGGCACACTGTCCGTGAGGTGCAGTTAACTAGCTCGCCGGTCATACGGTTGAGAACCTGCACCAGTTGGTTACCAGTTGGTTGGTAGTTGGCGGTTAGTGGTTGGCGGCTAGGCGAATGTATATACGTGGCTGTGTGTTTTCGGTCGTTCCCCCCAACCCCAAGTCCCTTACACCCCCACATACACTCCCCCCTGCTCCACACCGCACCGCCGCTGCCCCCTTCGCACCTCGCTGCTCCCCGGTAACAGCGCCACGCCAACGTTGTCGCGCACACGAGACCCGTCCAGGAACAGATTGGCCTTCAGCTGGTAGCCCCAGCTCAGGGTCAAAGCGCACTCGCCGCGCACGAAGCGGGCGTTATAGGGCAGGCACGGCGCGGTGGTCTCGTCGGGGGGCCCGAAGGCGCGCAGATCCGCAAAGATTTCCATGGCTCGCCGCATGGCGCTGTTGTTGACCAGGGGTTGCAGGCTGTCGGGGTCGAAGAAGGCGCCCTGATGGGTGCCCTCGCTCTGAATGAAGGATGACCAGATGGCGGCAAGGCTAAAGCCGTTGAAGCAATCTGTATGTATGTAGGCAGGCAGGCATGCAGGCATGTATGAAGCCGTTAATGCAATCTGTATGTTGTATGCAGGGATGCATGCATGCATGTATGTACATCGTAAGCGTGTAGATATGTAGGCATGGATGCAGCTGCGCTTTGGTTAGGGGATGTTAGGGAAACGTAGTTTGCCGTACACGTACCGCATATCGTACATGTGTGTTTCCCATTGACGATGGATGCAGACGTACCAATTTCGTTGGTAGTCTATAAATTCATTCATTCATTTCATAGGTATTAGCGTGGAGTAATGTAAATACATTTTCCTTGTTGTAGATATTAAAGTAGGGTATTGAAGTGAAGATCACCCTGCTGGGCGTTCAGGCGGCGAGGTGACGTGTAGAGGGGGAAAGACGAACCACGAACGAGTGAAGCTGCTGCTTCCAGGGCAAGAGTGTACGTGTAGATGGTGAAGGGTGAAGGGTCTGAGCGGGGGGGTGTTGGGGTGCCGGGCTGCCGGGCTGGCCCTCCCTCCCTCTCAGGTCCTCAGACCCCACAACCTCGCCCACCGCGTACGGCACATATGACTCACATCTGGGGCGCTGCAGGCACACGCCGTAGTCCGGGTGTCCATCACCGTTCATGTCAGTGCCGTTCACAGCTGCAGCTACCAGCAAAAAGTCGTCCCAGGTCACGGGTGGTGACAGTCCGCGCTTCTGGAGTACGTCACGCCTGTAGTACATCTGTACGAATGTATGGGTGTATGTATGCAGGCGCGCAGCGGGCCACCGCCAGCGTCAGTATCAATGGCGGTGGCCGTGACAACGGTAAGGGGAGGGAAAAGGGGGGACGGAGGTCTGAGGTCGCGTCGCCCGCAGGGCCATCCCCATATCACCAGCATATGGACGGCTCCACACAAGCCTCGATTTGCAGGCTCGAAAAGCAGCAACGTAAGTACTCAGATAACTCATTCGAACAATTTTCCCGCTCCCCCTTCCCGCTCCCCCTTCCCTCCCCTCCCCTTCCCGCTCCCACCCTGCCCCCCCACCTGGTACACCAGACCCCCCAGCGGGATGGAGGCCACCGTGCCCTCGTCCACCACCACATTGCCCCGGAACAGCCGGTGGATGCCAAACCATTCCAGCTGCTGCCTGTACGGCATCTCCTGAATCAGGCCGCTGAGATCCAACGTTTGACCTGAGTCGTACAGATCCGCCAGTGCGATGGGATCGACCTGCCACAGCACGGACGGGAAACGCGGACCGAAAGCCAAAATTACGCCAAGCAGGGTGCTTAATTTACCTTCCGCTTTCCTTCACCCTCTGCGGATTGCGGCGGAACAAAGTGGAGAGCGCCAGGAGACCTTGCTAAGCAGGGCCTGCGTGCTCTCTAGCAGGCATGTCCAAATGAGGACACTTGCCAGATCAGGCGCCGTTGCCGGTATCTATCTCTATCGGGTCCTGTCCCGCCGCCCCCGCCATCCCGCCCTTAACAAGAAGGAAACCCAACGCTCCAGGGTGGGCTCTGGCCGACCCACCATCCATCCGTCAACTTCTCCTGGCGGGCTGGTGTCGCTGCTCATGCCGAGAATGGTGGGTGCTACGCCGCCTATCAGTGACAGGGTGCGGCCCCAGGCTGCCATAGGGACGGTCATGAAGTCGAGGGAATGTGCCTCTAGATCGGAGCCGTCAACCAGCCTCTGAGAAAGTACGGCAACCGTACTGTTCATGGTTGCCACGTACGACGTGAAGGACATGTTGGGCGCCATCAGTGTGATGTTCTGCATGCGCTCCCGGAGGAGTTTTCGGAAGAGGAGGGAAGGAGATTTGAGATACGAAAAGGAGAGAGGGTGTTGCGCACGGAAGGTCGAGGGGGTAAGGGGGTTTGGGAGGTTGCAGATGGCAAGGGTGGGTCGGGAGTGTTGAGTTCGGCCGTAGTAGTGTAGGTCTATCGGAATCAGGGGGTCGAATGTTTTTTTTATGGATTTTGGTATCGTATTCAAATTTTCGCGCGGAAGTTTTATGCGCAGGAAGGAGGTGACGGCACTTGTGCGTAGGAACGATGCATGCACAAGCGGCAGGAGGAAGAGAGTTGCGAGCATGGGAAGAGGTTGGGTGCTGGGGGTCGCCGCGAAGAGAGCGCTGTGGGTAGAACCCCCCACGTGCTACGCTATGGGGTAGCCGTGTTCCATGTCCTTCTGGAGCGATCTGGCAACTGCTGTCGTAGCATGCTTTCCAGTACCCGCCTACGCATGGCGGACCAGAGTTTTTGTTGAGCGATCGGCGCCTAGAAACTTTTAAAGGCATCATCCAGGCAGGCGGGCCTACTTGCTTGGCTGTAGTTGTATCCCAGCTGGCGTTTCTACGAGACTCCGAAACCAGGCGTGGCGGCCCGCGCTTTCTGAGAGGTTTGTCGAATCCAGCTAGAGCACCGCAACGCCAAGTTAGACTCTAGCTACAGCCATGACTTGTTGGGCGATGAGCGCTCACCCTCCTTTCCTCCATGAAGCATTGGCCGACGAGGTTCAGGAACACTTCGGTCTCGTTCCAAGGCAGGGAGTTCGAACTATTGGTGGCCGCATTTACTTTATTGCACCTGTTATGGACTTGCAAACTTCAGGTATAGTGGGGCGAAAAGAGACCGTCCCGTAGCGGTCAAGCGATATTAATGTTCACGGCAAGTGTGTGACCAGCAAATCTTACCCAGTAGCTAGAGTTGCTACGACATTTCGAAAGCATATGTCCAAGGGAGATGTTTGTCCTGGGACGAGCAGCACCAGCCAGAGTGTTGCAACCAGCAGCCCCAACGGGCTCATGCTGTCCCAGCGCCCGCCCCTCCCTAGCAGAGAGGAGGCCCAGAGGTTCTACTATATCATTATGTTATCCATAACGCACATGCTGCGTTACCTCAAGCCTTTGCAGCCTGTCGCTGAGGCAAAGCTAGAAGTAGTAAAGGTGGGCGTGCCATGGTTATATATATTCCATAATTTACTTGTAATGTGAAACCTGTCATCCCAATGCACATGTAACAATATCTACGGATGCAGTTTCCTTCCAGCCTAGGGGCTAGACGAGTACGGAGCTATAATCCGGGAAAGGAGGTATACGATGCACTTGTTCTCACCCAAAACTTTACAAGTGACGTTGATGGCATGTAACAGCTAAGGTAGGAGGCTGCCTGCAAACCTCAACCGCCAGGCCAAGCCATGAGAACCTAAAACAATAATCACGACGTCACTTCATCACCGTTTGGGATGTGCATTAAGGTAGACCAAGGGCCCGACGAAAACTGCTCAACCGACAAACTACCACCATACCTGCCCGATTTCGTAGTACAGCCGATACGGCCACCTTGCACACGCGGCATGAGCACCTAGCTACCTAACTTTCTCGGCGATAACAGGCAATTGTGTTTCAGAGTCAAATTGACGCTTTTCTTTCTCATAAACACTCGAACTCTTCTCGCGCAAAGCTTTTTGTTTGTTTGTTTGTTTCGTTTACTTTTTCTCTTTTTTCCTTTTTCCCTATAGACGGCGCTGTCAAAGCGGTTTATGAGCCTCCGGGTTCGTTTGGGCCGTACGAGCTCGCTGAAGCTTGTAACATCCATCCATCCATCCACACGCGCAGCATGCAGAAAAGCTTAGCCACCACAATAAGACAGATGACATCTCTATGGGCCCGTACCTAAACTACCTTGTTGCTGGGTCCCATTTTCCTTCATTTTGTCAATAACAACATTAATACGTATTGTTTTAGGTAAAACACACCTTGTGATAAACAGTTCCAGTTATTTTGCGCAATTGAATCGTTTGGTGCTTGGACCAATGGGCCTGCAGCTCTTATATGAAGAGTTGGACCGACTGGCTAATGGCATCTCGAAGGTTGCTGATCCATTCCTTGATAAAATCGCGCCTAGGAGAACTATACAACGAGCTTACGTTGCCATCGCTGCGATAGGTAAGTTTAAAGCTTCTGTGAACTGCACATCATGTCTTTGAGCATATTGCGGCTAACCTTGACACAGGTATATTGTTTTGGCTGGTGGAGGCGTTGTTGCTGCTCCTGCTCACACCCCTGCTGGTCAAGCTTCTGCGACAACCCCCCAGCGGAAAGGCAGACGCGAAAACACAACTGAAGAAGGCCAAGGGTGCCGCTACACAAGCAGTCGCGCGTCTTGTGGGGTCGATCCACAATAGCATACAGGTACGCCTTGAATCGTCCTAAAGCCGCACCAACTGCGGAACATAAGATCCGTCAACCATACGGTGACCAACGAACGTCAACACTTCGTTGGTCAACGGACAGAACCGGCACATACTCCGTTGTGCCGTGCCGGAATAATAAGCAAGGAAAGCATGAACAACACCTGCCACACAACTCCAACTTTTCGCCGACTTCAAAATTGACCCGAAAGCAGACGACGACCCAGGTCAATGCGGTCAAAGCATTTTCTAATGTCTGCGTCATTTATGAATTTTGTTTTCATCCCACGCTGCTCACCCAGCTCAGCATTCATGACGGGTACGTTACCGACAATGTAGTGCGCTGCCTCATGTGCACACACGACAGAATCGCATGGAATGTCCCCTCACGACAAACACCACGGCACTTCACCCGCGCAACCCAGATCGCCACAAAAGGATTTTTTGGCACCACCTGTACACCACACTGATAGTTGCTGTGCCTGCTGGCGTGCTGTCGCTTGAGGAACCGAACACGAGTTGTGCAAAGCCCAAACGTGTGTCGTTTTGGGCCCGTCCATCCGCACCCCTTCCCTTCCCTTCACCCGCGCTGGGTATTTGAATCCCATGGTGGATTCTTAGCCGTACATCCCCGTGGCCGCGCGCCCCCGGTCCTCTTGTTGCCGGTCGTCACCATAACGTCCCCCAACAGCCTTAGGTGCATAAAACACTCTGATGTTGCCTCACGACGGCTCACCCCTCCTGCTCTCAGGTTCCCGTTGGCCTGCTGATACTGATGGAGGCCAGTTTTCAGAGTGACCGTGTGTACGCGAACAGCAGCTTGTCATACGCCATGTGCTACCTGTCAGCCGGTTACTTCCTACACGACCTGATTATGTGCGCAATGCGCTTCGCACTGGAAGGCCCGCTATACACCATTCATGCGCTGGCGTGTCATCTGGCATACACCTTTGGGGCGGTGACGGGGTTCCTGCATTTCCACGGTACGAATGTATTATGTTGAGGTTTATGTGTGCGCACACAAGCACACCAGCTTGTTTGCCAGCAACACTAAAGGCCCCACACGTGCGGTCGTGCTCATAGCGCACCAGCAAGATGGTCGATTTATCGATATGGGTCACGCTGAACGTGTCTGGGCCATTATTCATGTGGAGTTACAGTCGTTGCTGGTCGCAGCTTAATAAACTTATCTGGGTCAGCACTGGAGTTCGGAAGAAGTGATGTGGGGGATAGCAACGGGGGGCCCTGGGCGGGACGTCCATCCTAACCCCTTTCCCCGTTCACCCTGCCCTCCGGGCGCTGCACGACACAGGCGCGGCGTTTTTAATGTGGGAGATCAGCACACCCTTCGTACATTTCAGGTAAGCCTGCCGGCCCGCTGACCTGATTTGCTCCATCTGCCCCCCTTCGCAGGTGATACTGACCTCTGGGGTCTGGGGTGATGGGAAGGATCGAACAGAGCTGCAGCAGCGCACCAATCCTGCAGCCTCTCCCACCACATTCCCACCGCTGCGGTCTGACACTCCGCTGCTGCGTGCATTCGTTGCTGCTGCAGGTGGCTCATGTACAAGATCGGAATGGCGAACTCCGTTTTGTACCTCGTTAACGGGTTGCTGATGATCGTTGCGTTTTTCGGCTGCCGTAACGTTTGGGGCTACTTTCAGTCGTACATCTTGGTCTCGGACGTCGTCCGCGAGCGGTACCGGCCCGACTCACCGTTTCCAGCGGCTGCGACCGTGGGTTACTGCTTCGTGGCTGTGGTTATGAACACCCTGAATACATATTGGTTTGTCAAGATGGTGGCGGCGGCCATGGCAGTGTTCCTCAAGGGGAAGAAGGGCGGAGAAGTGGGCTCGCACAAGGACGAGTAGGGGAATATGAACGCAGCGCGGGGTGAGGAGGGGCACTGGAGGGGCGGATGGATGGGCGGGGCTCCCCGGGTTTTCCTTGTAAACGCACGCTGGCATGGTTAGGTTAGGCCATGACGGGCGCCGGGGCCAGCTTTAGTGATCTGTGACGCGGGGCGGGAAACTGACTCGAGCATGGCGCACGAGTACCTTAATTGGCGGCGTGCCGGTGTGCCCTGATGCGTGCATGCTAATTTTTGGCTAAAGATTGTTAAAAAATGCGGCGTTATTTGAAAGCCGCGTGGGGCCTGTGTGGGGGTGGGTGGGAGGGAGGGCATTCATGGCATGACTACGCCATGTACGAAACCACGGCCAGAGGACGGGCTTGGTCCATGTGAGGTGGATGAACCTATCCTGGGGAAGGGGCTTTGGATTGCGCTTCTGCCAATCACGTCATAGCCAGGACAGGCAACCTTTCCTTTAAATGCGGCATAATTTCCATCGTAAGGTCCAACTTTAGGTCTAACGGTTAACTACCTACAACTGTTGGGTCGCGTTTACGCGATCTCGTTCTGGGACAGTTGAGAACGACTGCTGATGTTTAGTTTTGGTATCGTGAAGTGGTAGCGCTGACGGCATGAGTTGGCGCGCAATAGTATATTATGAGGGTCGGAGGCACAAGGTCCCTTATCCCTACCGCCTTTTAGGTGTAATTTATACCGCGGAGAAAGCCTACGTCTTTGTCGTTTTGGCTGTCGAAGCTAATCTTCGTGAGCGTACAGACCAGGCACGCCCGAAGAGAGTCGGAGCGTCAGCCCATGGTGTGTGGCCACACATTATCACCTTTCGATCGTCAAGTGTGAAGCCAGTCGAACACCGGTCCTAAGGATGTATTGGGTACCTAGGTCACGCACACACCTGCTGCCCAGGATATAGATCACTTCTAGCCAATCTTTAAGACCCGGTTAGGCGCGGCTGAGCACATTCCTAAGGACTTCATCATCGCCGTCTGAGGAGCAGCCGAGGCCAAGCAGCAGGGACGAGAGCGAGGAGCGCTCTCCAACCCGCGACTCGCAGTGTTGTACCACTGATGCCACACATCATCAGCCATGCCCCTCCAACAGCAACTCGTAAGCAAGAGCGCCAAAGTGCGCCTCGCCCCCAAGTGCCCGGACTCCTCATGTGTACGATAAATAAGCTCCGTACACTCCCCTGCCTTAGGTACGGCACGTGGGTTGCCGTCTCCCTCAAACCGGTATCATGTGTTGCCTTGAAAACGATACTACTGACGCGCCCGCTGTTTATGGCGCGCAGCTGTATCACAGGTAACCCAGGCGGATGCTTGCCCTTCCTGCGGGAGAAACCCGTGTCTGGCTCATCCCAAATGTCAACAGAATGACCATCCAACCTGGCCCCATCATCATCCTTGCTGCTAGCAAATGCCAGGACGGTTCCGCCCAGGCCATGCCGCGTCTGCTCCGTGAACACACCGGCCACTCCACCCTTGATCCTGGTCAAATTTCCCAGTGGGTCACAACAAGACACGGAGTGGGTTGTCGGTTTGGCGTCATAGGCCAGTGCGCGGCACGCAGTGCTGATGCTCAACAGATAAGTTAGATCCGTGGCCTTAGGCAGGGTTTTACCGCGCTCATCCGCCGCCATGCAAGGCAGCTCCGCGGTACAATGCTCAAAACCTCACATTCCTCGACGTACAGGGCATTGCAGCGGCCGGCAATGCTGTTGTAAAGAGGTGAGGTCACAAAATATTTCGGTTACTTTCTAAAAAATTGCTGGGCGTACAATACTCCGCTCGATTCAGCCTGGATCTGCACGCCAAGCATGATATCTTGCTTGCGGCTGAGGTCTGCCCAGCTGGGATTCTGGTGCTGGAAGGACGCTGTGGTACCACCGTCATCACATGACAAATCAGACACTGTGCTCCGTGTCACTTTTGCCCATCGAGGACCATGTGGTGGATCCACGATTGGCCAGGCCATCGCCTGGGCACCCTTGTGAGGTGTGCAAGTTTGTTTGTGGACGTAAAAGAGCGGATGCTGCTCTGTGATGCATGCTGGACAGGGTGGGTGGCATACATACATATCAACTTGCGAGCTGACCAGGAACTAAGTTGATGCGCCGTTGATCCGCTAGATTTGGTTGGATGCTGGTGGTGAGTTGCCGAACCCAACGAATACATTCTGAAGTCGGATGGGGTGACGGATTAGGGTGCCCCTCTAGCAGGGGAGAGCAGGGACTGCCCCGGGAAAGGGGGCCGCTGGCGAAGTTAACCACCCTGTAACAACATACATACTGCCTAAACCCACCACTCAAAACATATTCCGGAGGGTCTTTGGGTGTGCCCACGGTGTCACGGTGTCACCGGAATTGTGGTTCGTTGTGTTCACCGACATCATTGTTCCATGTAAGGAAGCACGCCTTGCTGAAGGACGACACGCATGAAAGTGTGTAAGTTGATTTCGTCATGAAGTCGGTTTTTGATTAGCTCGTCACGGACACATCCGTGTGAGAGCTGGGTGTGGGGGGAGAAGTAACCCTTTGGCACGATTTGTTTTATGTGGGTGTGACAACCCTTGAAATGATATGTGTATGGATATATGAGTTGAAAGCGAAGAGTGTTAATAATCGACCACCTTATCGAATCTAGAGGGATCGTAGGGATCGTAAGGCAGTGATCTGCCTCGCGCCACAAGAGGCGTGAGGAATGGTGGCGGCCCTTTTTTGGAAAGCTGGGCACGCGGTGGTGGCTCGTGTGGGCGCATTAAAACATCATTATTTTTTTACACGATGCCTATTTGTTCGCGGGCCGTTGCATCTTCAAAGAACTACTGTATGTAGTGAATCGATGTGCGCATGTGCGCGCGGAACGGCTGGCGCTGATTGGGGTTTCATGTGCTGTAATGCCAACAATACCTCCGGCACCGACAATGCCTTCGGCACCCCACGGTCCACATGCACGACCTCATTTTCCTTGACTTGCTTCGCGTTCCTTCAGCCATGGCCGTCTCCAGTCCCTGCCGGGAGTCCACCCGTGGCATGCTAGCCTCCCGGGCGTGTGCCCTTAGCATACAAGCTGTGCTCAGCTGCAAACCGCGTCCTACTAACACGGCCATTGCTTGTAAGACACAACACATGACACCAAGGGGTCTTGCCCATCAGGACGTCAGGGATCAGCTGTACTGCACAATGTACTGCACGCGCTGCACTGCCCTACCTGTTTTGTCATCACAGCGAGGCAGGTTAGGAACTAATACTGCCATTAGAAGTCTTGCAAAAAAATAACTGATGAGTACTACGTTTAAGAATACAATTTAATTGGTGAGCAGCGCTTGGGTCAGGTTCAGGGGCCAGGGTTCAGCATCGTGAGCGCATCAAGAACAGTACGTCGGCCGGTAATGGGGTCCCCTTGAGCAGATTTCTATGAGGACTGGGCCCGACTGCGCCGGCCGGCGCATGATGATGCACGCGTCCCGACGGATGGCGTTGTCGCTCAGCATGGCAACTTGTTCGATGTGCGCGAGGGCGACGATGATCGTCATGGCAGTTAGTACTTATCATTCAGCCGTCCTTTTCTGTAACGGATTGTTGGGGACTTCGTAGTTGTAAACAAAATGTCACTTGGTTCTCCATTCCTAATGTTGCCCTTTTTCCTGGTTGAGACGTTAAGAAGACACGTGTTCCGAACATGTCATAAATTTAAATCTTATCGCAATTGGATGAGAGCTGTCCGCTTATAGGGATATCCACCAGGTGTCGACACCTTGAAAGCGTTAGGGTTCGGCTTATGTGGAAAGGTACTGTGCCACACTCGCATGTTGTCCGACGTGATAACTCCCTCCCCAGTGACAATTCGCTTGGTGGTCATATTGTTAAAAACAAGGACAAAAGCGGCGGCAAAAAGCGACGGAGTACGACAAGGCGTTTAACAATCTCAGGCGCTTGCCATCGCCCATCACTCTCTCTTCTTAATCGCCTCAATTTGATTGTGTGTGCTGTGAATCCTTTGGGACGGACTACTTTGCTCTTACAACTGATTATCACACAGGCGGACTTGTTGCGGCTGCTTAGCAGAAATGGTGTCCTTGGGCCTTGAGACTGTGCTGGCGGGCACTCCGTCCAACATTTGCAAGACTAAGGCATGTGCAATTTAAAGGGGATGTCCGTGTCCACAATTACATGGCGGTTGAGCAATTGCCACTTTGCGTTGCTCATTCAGGTGGTCTGCACTTTGGGTCCAAAGTCGCGCAGCGTTGAGGTGCTTGAGGAGCTCCTGCGCGCTGGTATGAGCGTTGCGCGCTTCAATTTTTCGCATGGCTCTCACGACTATCACCAGGTGCGTCCGGGGCGGCGGGCGTTGTCCGCGAGCGTTGGGACGCAGCATGATCGCGACCACAGTGCTTCCAGAAATCAACAATTTCAAAATTCTTCATTTGCAGGAGACGCTTGATAACCTGCGCATCGCTATGAACAACACGAAGTTGATGTGCGCAGCGATGCTGGACACCAAGGTGCGCTGCGAAAGGAGCTATGATGACTCTTTGGGACGGGTGGAAAAGCCCTTGTAACCTGAGGTTTTCCTTTCTTTACGCGAAGGGCCCCGAGATCCGCACCGGCACACTGAAGGATGGCAAGCCGGTGCAACTGACCGCTGGCAGGGAGGTCACGATTACCACGGACTACGCCCAGCCGGGCGACGAAAACACGATTGCCATGAGGTACAGCCGTGCAGAAGCATGAAGTCGTAGAATTGGAGGGACTGGGTTTTAACCACACGAATTAGTTAGGAGTTACGAGGTAAGGATGAGTAAGGGTTTCGTGTACAGCTTTTCACTCCTGTGGTCTACCCGCATAGTCCTCTCCGTGTTTAGTCTTTACCTTAAGCCTTTTGCTGATATCCCTGCGGCACTATTTTTTTCAATTCTCTTGTGCACTTTTTGGTTGTTTCGATGCACTTCTCGGTGCACCAAGCTCATCGTGCGGCCCCCAGTAATGGCGTTGTGCGCACAGCATACAGTGGGCTGCATCAATTAGGCATCTATCAGGGTCCTCAAAGCTGGTACCACACAGCTGGGCGCTGGCTGCTTGACAGGAATCGCGACTATATGGCGATACACCCTTCCGGCCGCTTTAGGGCCCCGGCTTTCTACCGCCACCGCCGCTTCATGATCCTCACGCAGCCGTATACTCTCACACGTCAGCCTGCCTTGCTTTCTACCCCTACCTGAACTACCTTCACTATCTCTTTATTTGCGCTTCATAGTACCTCCTCTGTCGGCCCATCCCCCCCACTACTATTACTACTACTGCTACATACATTGGCACGCGCGACACGTAAAGCTACAAGAAGCTGGCGCACGACGTCAAGCCAGGTTCACAGATTCTGTGCGCGGACGGCAGTATCGTATTGGTGAGGAAGGGGCGGGGGGCTGGTTGACGGCAGGGGCGGGGACACCACCCGGTGCCCGATAGCGGTCAGTCATGTTGTGTTGTGTGCGGGGGGGGATGTGGGTACTGCTGGGACGATGGTTTGTATGTGTGTAAGTGTGTATATAAGTGGCAGCTGCATAAGAAATGCCACCCCGCGGCGTTTCCCCAGTGGTGTGTGTGTCTCTGTGTGTGTGTGTGTGTATTTATGTCGCGGCAGGCCAGTAACGTTCGGGGGGTCCTTCCATACCGTGACGGTGGTGGTGGTGCCGGTCTTGGTTCATGGCAACCCATGTAGGGCTAAATATACATATATGTATATACATATGTATGGCTTCAGGCCCCGGGCTCCCCTCTGCCCCGGAAGCTCTGATCGTGTGAAGGGACGTGTGAAGGGACATGTGCGCCTCCCACTGACGCACCCATCCTGCATGCCCCGCAGCTGACTGCAGTTGAACCCCTGCATGACCTAATCGCCGCCCCTCAACCGCCCTCAACCGCCCTCAACCGCCCTCAACCACCCTCAACCACCCTCAACCACCCTCAACCACCCTCAACCGACCCCGCAGGAGGTGATCTCTACGGACCCCGCTGCCGGTACCGTCCGCGCTCGCTGCATGAACTCCGCCATGCTGGGGTGAGCAGCACTCGGCGTCTCCTCTGTGTGCGGATTGTGTGCGGGATACAAGCTGTTCATTAAATGGCAAACATGTGGTGATGGTGGTGGTGGTTGGGACGGGCGGTTTGCAGCTGGTTTCGGCGCATGCCATGCAGCTCAGCTGCTGCCGCCGCTCGGTAGTGGCAGCTCTGCCACGTCGCCACGACTGTTGATGAAGTCACTTCAACTCACTCATCACTAATCCCCCGAACTGCAGCCTGACCGCAATACCCGCTGTGACGCGGCGCTTTCCGACACCTCTGGCCAAACGACGTTCTCCCGGCCGCTCGACTTCCGACTTCCATACACACACTCTCACACTCACACAGCATCCTGCCCTCTATACCCTGAGAGAGCGCCCATCACGACTTTAATTAACAACACCACCATTGCCTTGAAGAGGTTTTAGTCACATTATGGCGCGTGAATCCGCCGCGTGGCGACCAAGTTGTTGATATGTGTTTTGCCGCCGCTGCGACGGCCCCCCCGTCTTCACGTTTCAGAGAACGCAAGAACGTCAACCTGCCCGGTGTGGTGGTGGATCTACCAACGCTGACGGAGAAGGACGTGGATGACATCATCCACTGGGCCATCCCCAACGACATCGACTTCATTGCCGCGTCCTTTGTGCGCAAGGGCTCCGACATTGATACCATTCGCCAGGTGGGGGCGTGATACCCCTTGGGGCAGGGGGAAGGGGAGGGAGAGAGGGGAGGGGAGGGGAAAGGGAGGTTGAGAGGGGATGTAGAGAGGGGTGGCTGGGAAGAGTGGATAAACGAGAAGTTGATTGGTGCGGTGGAGTAGAGAAGTGACGAGCAGGGAGGTTAGCGGACTGTCAGCGCACGAGTGTGTGTATGTATGTATGTATGTATGTACTTATGTATGTGGTTCATCCGGGTTGGGTTTGGTGGGGGGAAGCCATAGCCTAGGTGGTGAATGTGCGAGGAAGGGGGGAGGGGGCAGGGGGGCTGCAAGTTTGGCAGTGTGGTTGTGTATGGGTCGGGGGCCGATGGTGGGAACAACTCGTTTGACACGCGCGCGCGTCCGTCCGTCCGTCCGTGCGAAACCAGGTACTCGGGGAGCGGGGTCGCTTCATCAAGATCATCTCGAAGGTCGAGAACCAGGAGGGGATCCAGAACTTCGACGACATCCTGCTCAAGACGGATGCCGTCATGGTGGCTCGCGGAGACCTTGGAATGGAAATCCCCACCGAGAAAATCTTCCTGGCGCAGAAAATGATGATCCAAAAATGCAACTATGCCGGTGCGTTGACTTGAGTGGTTTGACTTCCCCTTTCTCTGGGACCTTATGGAGTCCAAGTAGGGGAAGGAGGGAGAGGATTCACTGGTACCAGTAATCACGCATTTTAGTGGGCTATCTACCTGCTTAGGTGGGGTGTGGTAGTTCAGTAGGGTGGGTGTGAAGTATGGGTCTTTTAGGATGTGTGTGTGTGTGTGTGTTTGATGGGATGGTAGGTTTGCGTTGTCCGATTGGGGGCTCGGAACAACAACCCTGAAAAGCAACCCTTTTTTTCCGCGGTTCGGTTCATTATCTAACACATATTTTACCCAACTTATCGCCCTCTCGCAGGCAAGCCCGTCATCACGGCCACTCAGATGCTGGAGTCAATGATTAAGAACCCGCGGCCCACTCGTGCCGAGGCGACTGACGTGGCGAATGCCGTACTCGACGGTACGGATTGCGTCATGCTTTCCGGCGAGACCGCGGCCGGCAACTTTCCGGTCGAGGCCGTCAAGGTACGGCATGCAATATGGAATCTAGTCGCGTACCACTGTCACCTGCGCCTAATCAATCAACAACTGACAAACTGGGAAATGAAAAAAAATGCCGCTGGTCTTATTATTTTTTAGTTAATCCGTTAGTGACAAAGGAATCACCTGGTTTGCCTGGAACAACGGAAACGGGCATCTCAGCATCTCGCGTTTTTGTTGTGCTCTTAAAATGACATCCTCAACATTCCTTCCCGCTCGCTGTCCTCTACTTTGAAACAGTACGTCACACAAACTATGCCTTCACACTGCGCGCCCCGCCTCTCTTCTCTGCGCCTCTCCTGCGCCTCTCCTCCCTCTTGTCCGCTCCGTTCAACTGGGCCTCTCGCCATCGGTCGGTCGGTCGGCCTGCCTGCAGGTGATGACCAAGATCTGTCGCGAGGCCGAGGCCTCCCTGGACTATTACGCCATGTTCAAGAACATCCTAAAGCAGGCGCCCATGCCCATGTCCCCCCTGGAGTCCCTGGCATCTTCCGCCGTGCGCACCGCACACAAGGTGACGATGATGATACGACTTAGGGTTGTGAAGTACCTGGGGTGGGTGGGTGGGAGGCTACTTGGGTGGGGTGGGTTCTGGGTTTTTTTCCTGTCCCCTTCCCTTTCTGTTCTCTCGCAGCGCTGCGCCTCGCCTCACCGGCGCCGGATTCCCATATCAATGCTTCTGAACGGACTTTTCACAGCTCGCCGCCAGATCCGCCTTTAGTCTCCCGCTTCAGCTCCTCCCCTTCAGTTTGATTCAATCCAGCTTGTTAAACCATTCCGTCATTCTCCTTCCCCCCTTTCCCTCTCCCCCCCTCCGCTCCACTCCGTAGGTGCACGCGTCACTTATTGTGGTGTTGACTCGGGAGGGGTCCACCGCCCGGCTGGTGGCCAAGTACCGCCCGCTGGTGCCAGTGCTTACAGTGGCAGTGCCCGTGCTCACGACAGGTAGGCGTGTGCGTATGTATGTATGTATGTGCGAGAGTGCGTATTTGTTTATTGTATTAGTGTGTTTTTGTGGCGGTGCTGACGATGTTGGCTTGGGTGTGTGTGTGAGTGAGTGCTGGGATGTGAAGGGATTTCCTACCTCGCCTTCATGGCGACATGCGTACCGATGTCCGTACGTACGTGTATCTCTGAATTCATCCCGTCGCGACTTTCCTCCTCAGTAGAAGAGGTATACCGGCGCTTTTGCATTCTGCAATGGTGTACTCATTTTCGCCCCGCAAATCATATACTTTTATGTACATACACTACCTGTCCCCTGCTGCCGGCAGGTTTTATAAGTAGCGTCTATTCCTTGCCTGCTGCTAATGACACCTCCATTTATTGCTGCTATTGCGTTTCCCCCGATCCGGCCCCGTTTGTGCATCAACAAAACGAACAACATGACACAACAGACAGCCTCACGTGGACCTGCAGCGGCGAGGCACCCGCGCGGCAGTGTCTGGTTACCAGGGGTCTGATTCCGGTGCTGGCGGAGGGCAGTGCGCGCGCAACCGACAGCGACACCACGGACGAGATCTTGGCGGCCGCGATCGAGCACGCCAAGCGCGCGCGCTACTGCGCCAAGGGCGACTCGATTGTTGCTCTTCACCGCATCGGCAACGCGTCCGTCATCAAGATTGTGGACATCAAGTAAAAGTTTTTGGTGGTGCAAACGTAAGATTTTTCCGGTTCCGTTTGTAAGCTACTTACGTGGTTTTCTTCGAACCTGAGGAAATCGCGTAGCGTAGGAAGTGGCTTGCAAGTCCGAATGACAAAAAGATACAAATTAACGCTTTGTTTACTTTCATGTACAGGAATTGAGTTGGTCGGGCCATGATTATTGTTCTGGATTGATGCGAGCAACTGCGGCCGATCTGTCTGAAGATTTGTGGTGGTGTAGCATTTGTGGACGCCGGAAGCTGCTCGCCTTGATGCGGCCTTGCTGGTCCGGGCTGGTCTGGGTGGAGGGACGCCGTGGCGCTTGTGGAGGTTGTGCGACCGTGTCGTGTTAGCGGGCGTCGCGTTGCAAGTGCGAACAGAATTTTTAGAGGGATTGCTTTGGCAATGGAGAGCTTCATATAATAGCCGATGCGCTAAAGGGGGGGGTTTTCGGAGGAAAAAGTGGAACGGGCTTGGAGTTTACTTGACACTTGACTTTCTGGCGTTCTCGGGCGAGAAGAGATTTGCGCGTGTTTAGCATGCCTGCGCAAGCGGCATGACGAGGGGGAGGGAGAGGGAGCGATGGCAGGAATGCTTTTCCTCGAGACGGGCGATATTTGACATAGGACACAGAACACAGAAAATGAAGATCCACAAAGCATGGCAGGCAGAGAGACTTGAATGGAGCTGGCGGTGACTATTGTGCTCTTAATGGTTCACATATGCGTTCCAAGACATTCAACAAGGACGCACCCGACCCAAATCACCAAACAAGTCCATCATATGGCCTGTTGGTTACCGTACACTGTCTTCGCGCCTTATTGGCGCTTCGGAAAAGCCGTGGCTGGCGGCAGACGGCCTCTCGAGGCACTACCTGGCCGGGGGCGGCAGGGGGTGCTGGGGGAGTGTGTGTCAGCCATGCACGGCACGGCATCACTGCGCACGCCGGCGCGTCTGTGTAAGGTGTGGAGGTGTTAAGAAAGAGGCTCAACACGTAGGTGTGTGTGGCTGTGAAAGGACGGGCAGCAGCGCTGTTAGGGGGATACGGCTCCCAGTCGTTTGTGTCGCCCTCGTTCGCATGTTGAAAGCTGGCGACCGCCGGAGGCTGGCACGTCGCACGAGGACGCTGTGCAAGCTGGCCGCGCAAAATCGCATTTCTGGTCGTTCCTTACTTACTGATTTTCAGGTGTGTTGTTTCGGCAGCATCGAAACGTTGTTTTTACGGTTTCACATACACAATACATACACAAGCTGGCAACTCTTTATGTTGACAGACATAAAGACAGTTTCCGGAACGGTTTGTACGGCGGCTGTAGCGGCGGCCATCGCAGCACAGTTCTGGGGCTCTTATCGCAAGGTGGTTGCAGAAGTGCATCTCAGCTTAAAGGCGTTGGGTATTGGCGAATGAGGGAAGGTTTGTGTTTGCAGCTGGTGCTCTGTATGTGGGATGGCGGTTGTCGCGGCCGCAGCTTTGGTGGTCCTCTTCGGTGGATTGCGACGTCGGGGGAGGTCGGTGGGGGAGGGACGGAGGGGTTAAAGGATTACATGGCACGCGTCCATGTGTGCCGATTTCGGAGCGATTAGCAGAGGGTAATGACGGACGGGCGTCCGTGTCGAAAGTTGGTCGTATTAAAACGTATCCCTCGTGCTGCAGTCCTTTTGAAGAATTTTACACGAAAAACGATCGTATGTTATATGTGCGTAGTGCAGGCGCGGCGGAGCAGCAGCAGTATTAGCAATATAATAGGATGTACGGCTGTATCTGGCTGTACAGCTAACTTCCATGCGCCATGGCTAGCGATTGCAGTTTTCGCGCTGTGTCCGCTCGGTTTCTTCTTTCTTTGGGATATTCGCTTCCCTTCCGTTTGATGATTCTGTGTGTCCTCCAAATCGCTTCGAGGGCGGCCATACAGACAGAAATGTCCGGATAGCGTCAGGGGCTGATGTCAGGACAAACAAGGCGGGTTAAGGTTTCGTCTGGATCGCAAGCGAGAGGCATCCGCCTTGCTGTTCGCTTGGCGTCTACGAAGCCACGCAAGATGTAAGGGATCGGTCGCTGACATCCAACTTCTCTTCGGGGGGGTTGGTCATCTTGCGGCTCTTATGGCCGACTTACGCGGGCGGAAACTGTCAAAACTGATTGGCCTGATCGTGCCTGGTATTCTTCCTGTACATGTACAGGCCCCTGAGCTGTCTGGTTGGTTGAGTCAACTGGAAAAAAATCAACATGTGAGCTGTGGGGAACGAAAACGATGTTCGTGGAGACCGACTGACTGCAGGTGTGCGTTCTCGCTGATTGTGTAGGTTCCGGACTGGAAAAAGCTCCAATGGCGCCTTGTTGTGGGTGAGAGAGGCTTTCACAGTCGTTAGGCTCCTTGGAGGGATGAAGTGTAAAACGCTGCGCGGCAGGCTTCAAATGGGCGGGGCAAGTGAGTGCTCTTACAAAGGTGAGGAACAAGCCAGGTCCGGTACTTTAGAGCTACAGGACGTGTTTGGGAGAGGGGGCCCAGAAGATGGCGATGGTGGGTACTGCTTGCTTAGTTGTGGGGGAGAGAGAGAGAGAGATTTCGGTACGTGTGGGGACCGGCATCCGTCCGCAAGTTCTTCGATACCTTGTCAATCGAAGAATTCTAGATGTCGTGACTGTATTGACTGTGACGCCTCACCAGAAGTTCCGAGAAGAGAAAATCCTGGTGTGGTCGAGCCGTAATCTGTTTCATATACACGCGCACACCGTGGGAGGACTGGTGCATGGGCTCTCCGATAAGCTCAGCACCATAGACACAAAAAGACGTCCCAAAGGGAATGATCCCTCGTGGCCACAACACCATGTGTATAAGCTTCGGAAGAGAGCGGAAGAGAGAATGTGTACTGGCGTGCTGTGCTGTGCTGCGGTGCGGTGTGGTGCGGTGTGGTGTGGTGTGGTGTGCTGCGGTTAACGGCCCCAACCCGTTCTCGCTGGAGGTCTTCAAGTAATACCTCACCTGCTGCTGCTGCTCCGCCATTCCGTGCTGTTTCTTCCTCGACTTGTATCCTCGATCGTGGGCATGGGCATGGGTAGGCTTTTGAGGCCAGCTAAGCGAAAACCGCTAACCCGCAGCGAGCACGACATTCAAAACACTATGTGCCTTCCGTAAGGGACGGATCAAGTCCATCAATTATGAGTACTTGAAGCAATAGCAATGCAGATTTCCTCACTACAGATAGGTACATGAATAGGGATGGCGTGTTGTCTTGCGCAAAAGGGAACTACGTCGCCCTTGTGACCGGCTGTTTTCAGCAGTAAGATGCGTTTTAAAAAGGGTGGTGCAGACGCTGGTGGCTTGTTTTAGTTGCACTTGACAGCCTAGCCCAGCTTTTAGTTGAGCGGCCGCCATGCGAACCTAGTTAATATGGTTTTCTACATTGACCAGGTACCGATAAGAGATGTGGCCCGCTAAGGTACTGGGGGCGTAATCATGGTGCCAGGCCAGCACAGGGTGGGGCGGAGGTAAGAGGTCGCGTCTCAAGACGTATGCAAACGATTTGTAGTGAATTAGAAGTTCCTACATACTAATAGTAGAACAAACCACATCTGAGTTGATTATATACTCAGCACGCAATTGCAACCGCCATAACTTTATTTAGTGTATAGCTGTCTCTTGGCATTGTAACTGAATGTGAGTGGGTAGCGGTCCTCTAAAGAAGGTTTGCACGAGTTTACGTGCCGGTACGGACTTGGGATGATGGGCCTTAGACTGTTATAAGTCCGCCGCACCACATCCACCCGAACTACATCCTCTTGCAAGGTGTCATCAACACCATTAGACTTAGGTTCTTAACCTGCATTGATATCTTATCTGTGACGCTCAGTGCGTTTTCGTGGAGCAGAAAACTTCGAGCCAACTAGAAAAATGTTGCCAGTCTTACATAGGCCGGCCTCGTCTATGTTTGGAGAACGAAATGTATTAAGCCAACCAACATCTCCAAACAGCACTCTGCGAACGGAGCCATCGGTGCCAGCCCCCAAGCGTTCGGGCTTGGGAACTGGACTTCTATCTGGGCCACCGTCAACGGGCCATTCACAGAACTCGCTGACAGGTCTTTCACAGTTTCAAGTTTCGCACGAAAAGCAAGTGAAGTTGCAATACTGTTGCGGACAGCATCTTCGAAGGCGATTTCCTTAACGACTGGTTCCTTTCCTGTACATGCGCAGTACCCTAAGGAAGAACCGCAACCATTTCATCGGCCAAACAGAGCAATTCAGCATCGACTACCATGCCGCCCATGACAAGTCGCTCGCCGAGCTGCCGGTATTGCAGGAGCAGCACCAATTGGAGGTTCGTATTCGCCGTCCGTGTGAACACAGCATTACAACTGTATACCTTTTTATTGCGGGGCTGCCTGTCTGTCGTCCTGAGACACACCACCTCTACACAGCCTCCCAGCCATCCAACCAGTAGCACCCTCCGTAGAATTTCCCCTCATACCCTTCCACCTGTCGATGCGAATGTCACAGCTCCCTCTTAAGTAAATCCCCAGTGGATGCGCCCAATCTGCCGACTGGCCACTACCTGGCGGCGCTCTCCTTCATTTCCCCCCACCCACCCCCCTCATCTCCACTTCTCCCCACTCTTCCACCCGTACACAGGTTGAGGAGTATCAGAACGCCCTGGAAGAGGCGGTCGCCCGCCACGTTGCCCGCATAGCACAGGTGTGTGTATGTATGTGCGTATGTGTGTGAAGACGGGGTTTCGTTTGGGCCCCTGACCCCTCCGCCCTTCGCGCGGCAAACCGCACCCTCGACAGCTCTGTAACCCAGCCGCCACTTCCCGTGGGCGCACCGCACCTTGGGTCTCTGTATTTGTCTGGCAGACAGACAGACAGACAGACAGGGGAGTAAAGGCCCGTATTTGTGCGCCCTGTGGCGCCTGGGCCCTGTACACCACCTCTATCATCCACATCAACTTCTTTCCTTGTAAGCACGTTCCCCCCTCCCTCCCCTCCCCCCCTCCCTCCCCTCCCTCACTCCCGGGCTCAACCCACAGCTCCGTCAGGACTACTCCCTAATGGTGAAGGAGGCAAGTCGCCGCCACTTGGAGCTACAGCAGCGCCGGTTCGCGGGGGCGAAGGTGGAGGTCCCGCAGCCCGCAGCCCTTCAGCCCCCCTCCCTGCCACCGCTGTCACCCCCCGTGTCAGTGCCAGGGATAACCTCAAACGTCCCTCTTCTGCCGCTGCCCGGCAAGTCCAGCGCCGCCGCCGCGGCCGCGCACGCCAACGCCGTCGCCGCCGCGGCCGCGCAGGAACAAGCCCAGAGTCACTCTCTTGGCCAGGTCCACCCCAACGCCTACCTAAAGACTCTGGACAACGGCGCCGCCTCGGCCATGGCGAACTACAGTACCCGGCCCCCATCCACCCCCAACGCCCTCTCCTCCCTCACCCTCGCCAACCCACCCCCGACCATTGGCCCACGGGTCACCACGCCGCCAGATCCCAACGCCCGCGGCTCGGACTTCCACCGCCTGGAAGCCATGCACGAAAAGTACATGAGCAGGACCCGCTCCCTGCACGAATACGGCCTGGCTTCCCGCGCGAGCGAGGTCGCGGCCTGGGCGCAGACGTTTGCCGCCTGCATGGGCGCCCTCGCGCAGCACCAGTCGAGTTCCCTGTCGCACCTGGCGGCGTGTGTGGAGGAGGCGGAGGCCTGGCACGCGCAGCAGCGCTCCGCCCTCAGCTCCGCGCACGAGGAGATTCTGGGGGAGGCTGAGCGGCTCGGACGCCAATTGGAAGTCCAGCAGTCCGCAGCGGCGTCCAAGCTCGCGGGTTTGCTGGCGTCCTTCCTGGAACGCGTCCTGCCTACCGGGGAGGTGGGTCTAGCTGAGGCACAGGCGGCATACACCCGCGCCGCTGCGAACCTCCGTAATGAACACGTGGCCTCCCTGGAGGCGACAGAGGGGGCGTTGCGGGCTCTGGTGCCCCGCCACGCGGCGATGCGGCAGCACATGGCCGCGGCGTACTCTGCGGGTTTGGCGGCTCACGAGGCGGCGATGGCGGCGGCGGGCGGGCACTATGATTCGAGGGGGATTCCGGAGCTGCGGCGGCAGTATGAGGAGGCGGAGGCGAGGCACCGGGACGCGCTGGCGGCCATTCGTGCTGATCATCTGAAGGGGCTGGCGGCTTCGCGGGAGGGGTGGATGGGGGAGGCTGCGGCGCTGCTGGAGGAGTACCGGGCCCGCATGCAGGAGCTCAAGTCGCAGTTTGTGTTGACGTATGAGGTGAGTGTGTGATGAGTGAGACCATGAGTGTGTGTGTGTGTGTGTGTGGTGGTGGTGGGGGAAGAAGAGTGTGAGTGGGTGTTGGGGGGGGGCCGTGGAGCGCATTCAGCGGTTGTTGGGGCCCATGCAGGCTGATGACGTCGCCACTGCGGCCAGGTGGGGCGTACAGGATGAGGGCCTGTGCGGTTGGAGTGGGGGTGCGCCAACACATTGCATCTCTGTGTGTGTTTTTATGTAGGTAGGTATGTAGGTAGGTATGTAGGTAGGTATGTAGGTATGAATAAAACCTGGCCTACCCCGAGCCGATAGTTTCTGGTTTTTATGGTTTTGTGCTTTTGGCTTCTTCCGCTCTGTTGCCGCTGCTACTGCTCATATTACTGCTATTGCTACTGCCACCACTGCTACTGCAGGTCGATGTCACGGAAGTTTGAGGAAACACGTATTCAAGAGAGGGAGACGCCTCAACTACCTCCTCACCGTACAGCGCCATGAAAAGGAGATCACCTCCCTCAGGGATGCAGAGTGACGGCGAGATTCCTGTATGACCCGTTTGGCGACCTGAATTACAATCATGGCTTTTGCCCCTTACCACAGGGTGGTAGGGGTGTGTGTGCGTTTGTATGTACGTTTTTTTGTGTGTATGCTTGCAAGGCTGGGGTCCTCGTGTGAGAGGCCGTATCTGGGTGATGTCGCAGCCGTAGCAGCAGTAGCAGCAGCAGTAGCAGCAGCAGCAGGAGCAGCAGCAGGGGGAGGGAACTCGAATGGTGCAGGAGCAGAATAACGAGCAGGTGGTCTCTCGCGAGGGGCGCAGGCACAAGCTACTGAGAGCATGTGGGGCAGGAGGATATTAGAGCAGGCTGGTGCAGAACTGCGTGGGCATGTAAATTGGGAGCAGCTGCATTTTTATGCGTATCTGTATGTATGTATGTGTGTGCTGCCCAGTGTGAAATGGCCCTTACTTCGTGCGTGTGTGTATCGCCCGCTGGTTCCCCCGCGTTCACCGCACTGGAGGAGGGGGCCGGGTTGGGTGGCAGAAGACCAGGGGTGCATGGCCCTCTGCACTTTTTAAGTGTCTCCAAAAAGAAGTGTCTCTGTATGTTTGTTCTGTCTAGGCGTGCCTGTCTGTCTGCATGATGTATCTGCATGTGTCCGCCCGTGTCCAACATTCAGCTCCTGCCCCTATCACGCTCATCCACGGAGCGGAGCGAAAGCAGCTGCAAGGGGTCTGCAAAGGGGCTTCACTCTTGTAGGAGTGTATTGTGTGTAGATGTATGTGGCCAGAACCGGGTCTGTCGCTAGCAGAACTGGCTGCACTTTCCGTAGGCCCCAGTGTGCATCTGCATATTACTGCGATCACTACCATTATTTCATATGCCGACAACGACAGCGACAAGGACCCAACAAGGGTATTCGGGGAACGCGGGGAGTTGCTGTTATTGTAGTTGTTGTTAGTAGTTGTCGTAGGATTACTGTCCGAGCTTATCTAGGGATTGTTGTTCGATTCCCCGAGCATACTTGGGGTGTAGAGGCAGCCCTCACCCGGGGAGGTGCGGTCCATCCCGTGGGGCGCGTTTGCGGGTTTCCCACCTCTCGGATGGTGAGATATCCCCGCCCAGGTACAGCGGTCACACCACCCTGACCACGGTCATTCCTTGTTGCGGTCCTGCTGCCAAGTTAGGGGAGGAAAGGGGGCCCGTTGTGGTTGTGAGGGGATGAGGCCAATGATGGTTTTTGTTGGCTGCATGTGTGTAAGAACCTTTTCCAACCTGTCAAATATAACGGTGATGTCCCAGGTGGGCAACTACAGCACTACCCAGCCCTCCCCCTTGCCTCGCTCCCCCGGTGTTTCGACCACACGCGCCACATGACCACACGCATGTAACACGTCAGGGGCACGTGAGGGGCGTGCGATCAAAAGGAAGCATACATTATCTTGCTTGTCTTGTCTCAACAGATGTAAGTGCATATGTATGTATGTGCATGAAGGGGGAAAAGTTGTACAAAGTGCAGCGCTGGCCCGGCACCACCTTTCCATTCAGAGGCTATTCGTGACTTTTTAAGTGACATGCAGTGTTGTACACAGTGCAACGTTAGACACGAAAGGTAGCCGACGGTTTCAGTTGCTTAGGCGTCACTATCCTAGGCTGTGGGCGGGACAATATACTGTTGTTTGATAGCATATGGATTCTTCCATCAACATCGACACCCTTTGCATCACACGTGTCCAAAGTTGAAGCATACCTAAAGCTTGTGGCTTCTAGGCTCTTGGGCTTCTGGCTCGTATGGACTCGTTACGCCTCTCTTGAGTAACGCAACCGAGGTGTAACACACACATACATACACAATGCTGATTCGACTGTTCATGCGGGGACTGCTGATAATGCAAACGGGGATGGGAAAACAAGGGAATGGCCTTGCAGGTTGTCCATTTTCGTCCACGTCAGCATGTTGCAAGCGGGCTAGATAGGTGCTGCACGCACTCCACAGGGGTCTGTGACCGGGTCCATGTTTCTGGCCACCGCGGGACGACGGGAAGTCCCCGTTCCCGGGGATGAGGACTCGTAAAATGAAATCGTGTGTTGGAGCGCATGTGGAGACTGGTGTGGTGGGTAGCGAGCACGCACGCACGCACGCGAGGGCGGCTTGATGGGCGACATTACTCACAGCCGTATCTGCAGTTGAAGCTCGTTCGCAGTTTGGGTGGTGCTGCTGTGGGGTGCTAAGGAAGATCAGGGGATTGGTCATGGCAGCGGCGGTGGTGGAGGTGGAGCTGGTCGCGATGAAGAGGGCCATTGCGGTGGTGGTGGCGGAAGGGGGCGGCGCAGACTGGCCTGTGGCCGGCGGGTCAGTGTGCCTTCCGCTGGGGCTGTTCCCGGGGTGTTAATCCCCATGGCCATGGCCCCTGCAGTGGCGCACCCCGGCTGTGCAGGTGTGCCTTCGGAAGGGCGATGACATGATGGGGGCATACGGGCCTCATGTCCTGTTTTGCGAATTGGGCAGCGTAACCAAATGCTCCGTGGCCGGATAAGGCCCAGGGGGAGAGGGTGCAGCTGTTAGTAGCTATGCATGGCCCCCGGGAGGACGACCGGGTAGAGGTCCGGACTCATGATGCTAATCTGTTCTCATGATGCTAATCTGGTTGCTTCCCGTCCGAGGGAAGATCAGGGTTGCGCCGCGGACAACCTCTCGTGGTTCCATGACGACGTGAACTGGTTCCGGAAGATCCTCCGGGGAGGGATCTTCCGGTGCGCCACCCTACCTTGCTATTATCGCATGTAGCCCCAGCAGCAGGTAATCCGTCCCGCACATCAAGATGTAAGCTCCCAACCCAAAAACGAGGAACAGCTTGGACGCCCAACCATCTGCGAGTTACCCCCTCAACGCCTGGAGGATCTCCCGGCGCAGAGTTCGGGGTACGAGCAAGGTACCCCGGCTGGGTCACTGCCTTATTCCCAAAACCGATAGCGCGCTGGGCACCTAGGTAATTCGCCAGTGCTTTGGTTGGGTTCCTGTGTTCAGGTGTTAGCGGCTCATTAGCGGCTCATTAGCGGCTCATTACCCGCCAGGTTTGGCTGTTTCGTTTTTTTGGGGGGGCCTAGGGCCTGGGGCCTGAGGCCATGTGGAGTTTCGGAAGCGGGGCTAGCTATTGAGGATTTCAGGTTTTTTCAGCTGTAGATTGCAGTTCGCCCCTTTGGGTTGGGGGCCATCAGTTCAGTCGACCTTAACAACTACTACTACTGCTCCTTGCACCCCTTGTACAGCTGCCAACACTGGCTGTATACCGGTAAATCAAAGCCAGTGTGTACTGTCGCTACTGCCTACATGTGCACATGTGTGTGTGTGTGTGTCGGTGTGTCGGGTGCAAACGAACCACAAAATCCATTTATATCGGCATGTTAACATAGTAGATGTGTATGCGCTGGTTGCTCATAACTGCATAACGGGGATAGGCCGAGGCTATGTCCCGGTACAACGTCGGGGGAGACCCCCGACACTGTCAGGAGCGCTAGATTATGGCTAGCTGCTGAGATGTGGAGTTGAGATCACAGTTGATGGATCGAGATTCGCACGCTGGATTGGTGGCGATTGCTGAACCCTCTGTCTCTACGGATGTTCGGGTGAATGGATGAGGAGGGATCCCAGAAGGCAGGATCAACCGCCTTGGACTTCCAGTTCGTATGGCGTAGTACAGTGTGGTAATGGTGAATGGTGCTGTATGGTGTGATAAATCGTAGAATTGTCAATGTGTGTTCAAGTTGCCCAGAAGCCTCCCACTCAGTAACAATTCAATTCAATTCAACAACGTCGGGGAGTGTATGCTGTTGGCCGGGGTTGCAAGTTACAAGGGTTACAGGGTTACAAGGGTTACAAGTTCCGCACAAGTGTGCGAGTAGCGTTCATGAAAGCCGGTGGGGGGGGAGGCAATGAATGGTCAGCATTGTGGCGCCGAGTGGGGCTGCTGGTGTCCTCTCCCAATCACCTGGTCTCAGCACGCCTGAGCATGATGTCCTTGCCGGTCACTCAGACCTCCGAGGAAACTAGCCACAGCTAAACGGGGGCCTTCTGCCGTGATCGTTATTATCCGCACATTTCGCACCCTCAGGATCTGATGCCCCCCTTACATTTCACTCTTAAGGGAGCCCCCGCAGGCTGGTGGCCAGTCACAAAAGACATGCAGCAGCTCATCCTCAGCTCAACCGCTCCGCAGTCACAAAGCCAGCGGTAGGTACACGCGTCACGCTCTCGCGACCATTGGGCCTGTGTAGTTAGCTTACACAATTCCCAATCTGAAACGCATGAGCACCTGAAACGTGTACAATGGCACGGCCCCAATATGTGAGCGAGCCAGCCAGGGAATTTACGTGCAAAACAGAACCCGGCAGCAGCCGGGGTGGTAATGGGTTTTGTGCCTTCGCACCTACGTCCCACCACGGTGCCAGCCTTTAAAACCCCCTGAACGCTGCCAGCCCCCCGGCACCCTCCCTCCCAGCCCCCCCCGACACCCTCCAGCAGCCGTCATGGTGGCCGCTGGTTTCAGCGCACCCACTTGTTACCCCGTCGCCCCATATGACCCCGAGCTGGTGGAGCCTGGCCCGGTGCTACCGCTGGGAGCGTGCTGCACAGCTCTGTCACCTGCAGCCGTCCATGGCGGCAGATGCAGCCTAGGCCAGGGGAATCATGGCCATGAAGCTGCACATGTGTGTTATTGTCATATAACTGTAGCATCGACAAAGTATGTGCGTACAGGAGACAATGGCAGCCAATGCGCCTCGGCTCTCCAGAGCCACCGGGATCCCCGTCGGGTGGACCGCTTCAAACCCGGAGCCGCAAACCCAGGGAACTCAGGGTTCAGAAGAACACATTGTTATCTTTCTCCACCAGAAGAAAAACATATTTGCATCTGCAATAGAAACAGCTGGGCATTACGGAATTTTTAGTCGTTACGGATGTACGGACGTACGGACATGTGACATGGGCAACCCCACGTATAGGACCGGGCGGCCGAATGCGCTTCGCTTCTCATTTTGAGGGCCCCTGCCCGACAATAAACCATATCGCGTATATGTCGCCGAATGGAAGACTGAATGAACCAACGACACAACACGAACAGGAACCACGAACTGACAACACAGCATGCTGGCAGTTGGCCACATGCAACCGGAGAGCTTTAACGCCCTTTCACCCCCCTAAGGGGATTGAAGCCGCAATCCAGGCATTGAGGCCAGGCAAGCCTTATGCCAAGCTAAGTCCCTAAGCTCATTATGAAAAGATGGCGAGGGGTTCTGGTTCAGGACTGGACCGCGGGAGGGGGACGGGGCGAGCTAATGACTCCTTCCCGGCCTCATCGACCTCATAATTAGCCACGACTTGTCACGACTTAGACAGCTCGAGCGGTCATGCGATTATAATGGCCGATCTGGCTTGGGATTCAGGTTGCGGTGGCGGCAGCTGTGTTTGATGTTTTGGGCTGCTTCGGGGGGGTGGTTTGGAATTTTACGGGCTGCTGCTGCGAGGTTGGGGGTGGGCCCGCGGCCCGGCCACAGCTTATCTACACAACAACGCGGGATACACAGGTGGTGTGGAAAGGGAGCACCAGACGACGTCGTCCAACGCGATGCGAAATGGATAATGTTGGTTGTTGCGATGTGGTGGCTGAGCTTCCGAAACTACGGCACGCAATCACCTAATCGCTCCGGAACCCGCAGCAATTTGCGCCTTAGGGCGTCGGCAGCTGATTCTTTGTTTCTTGACGCTGTGCATATGCACGTATGTGCGTATGTACATAATGTTGTAACATTATTATATATATGTATGAATATATATATCGCCCTTTTCCCCCGTCCCTAAGCCTGCACAGCTCGCGCTCGGATGTGGTGTGGAGTGGTGTGTACGGATCCTGCCAAGGATTCGTCGCTATAGTCCGCACCCCTACTGCTAGTGCTACTACTACTACTACTACTCGGCATACTTGGAAGGGGGAGAAGGTAGTTCACCCAGCAGTTCGAGATGCTCGTGACCCACAATAGGCCAGCCACCCAACACCGCCCTTCTGCTGACAGGGCTGAGGTGCTTTCCGAAATGGATCTTGTATCCCTCATGGCGGATACAGTAAAATGGTTAGAAGAAGGTTCCCACAGCTCCGCTATACCTAATGTAAGAGCAGAAGGGGTGATGCCCCGGCAGGAGGGGTCCATGAGAACCACACGCGTGTCCGAACGGCTGTAGCAGCATTAATGGCAGCAGCAGCAGCAGCAGCAGCAGCCGACGACGACCGCTAAGATGGCAACGGCCATGCCCCTACCACCACCATTGCCGCCACACATAGTGCGGCCAGCGTGCTTGAGATCGTGTTATACACACTATACACATACATGCACATACATGCACACACATACACATACATACATACACATACATACATACACATGTCGTCACCTCGCACCTGCCACCTAACGATCATTATTCCCGCATGCATGCATGCATGCATGCATGCATGGCGCCTCATTCTAATTGCGTGTGCGGAGGGCGGGTGGGATGCACGCACCTGACCGACACCTACAACTAACCACTCGTATATGATAGATCCCTACACTTCTATTCCTATACACCCCCGCTGCCACTTCAGTACTTTCCAGGGCCCAGTGGGGCCAAACAAGTGCATGGGGGGGAGGGGAGAGGGGGCACGGGGGGTCTCATCAGCAGTTCGGAGAGAGAAAGAGAGAAACACGCTGCGCGAGTGTGCACGTGGACACCATTCCTCAGGCGTTCCTCCGTATTTGGACTGTACCTTTTCGTACATTCATGTAAAAAACGAAGCGTTCCCGAACAGACCCATGGGGCAATACCCTTCCGCCGGAAACACACACATGTACACACACATACTTACATACATATACACACACCCATATGTGCTCCCCCCGCAGAGGGCTGGCGGCTCCGGCAGCAACACCCGATACCGGGTCTATATATCGACTATAGTGCTCGGGTTGCAACGACACGCGGCCCTTCCACCACCCCACGAGCACGCCATCACGCCCTCAGCCGCACCTTCAGGCAACGAACCAGTAATCACGGTCCTTGATGCCCAGTGTCAACTAGCCCAGCCCAGCCCAGCCCAGCCCAGCCCAGCCCAGCCCAGCCCAGCCCAGCCCAGCCCAGCCCCCATCGCGCACCTCGAGTGCACCGCACCTCCAACCCACCAAAGCAGCTGCATGTAACATCCGTAGCGGCAGTAGCAGGGTTGTGGTGCCAGCAGGGCAGCTATTAACCCTGGACCGCAATATCGCGGGACCGAGTGACGCAGCTCCGCCACCATCGGGACGGGAGTACACACCGACGGGCAGTACACACCGACGCCTGTTGGCGCAGCCACCACCTCATGACCGCACTGCCGATCTCTTCTTCACCGTGGGAACGGCGATGAAAATGGGTCACCTTTTTTCTTCCCACCCAATCGACCTCTCCCTCTCCCTGACTCTCCGTGAACTTCCCCCTCCCTCGCTCCTTCCGTAACGATTGCCTCCCCCAGCTGCCATGTCTCACCACTCCGCGGCCTTTCCTCCTCTCCACTCCCCCCCCGGGCCCCAGGGGTTGGGCCAGGAGGAGAGGGAAGGGGAGGAGGAGGGGGCGGGGCCGCCCAGTACTGGCGCCCGCAGGAACAACCCTTGGAAGGGGTAGCCCTCCCTTCCCAAGGAGGCCGAGGTCGCATCAAGTGGATGGTCAAGGCGCTCAAAAGAGGAAGTTGTCTCTGTCGAGCACCCGGTCGTTTGCCGCCTGGATGGCCAACCGGGTGCGAAGCTGCGAGAGCATACCACCAGCAGCAGCACCAGCAGCAGCACCAGCAGCAGCACCAGCAGCAGCACCAGCAGCAGCAGCAGCAGCAGCACCAGCACCAGCAGCGGAAAGCAACCGCGACAAACAGTGTTGTGATCATCATCATCATCATCAGCAGCAGCAGCAGCATCAGTGTCATGATAACAGTTGCAGTTAACTACCGAGCAACACAGGCAATACATCACCTCGCGGGTGGCGAAGGATCATCCGGTGGGCTGCAAAGACCCACCTATCCTGCCCCCTTACCCCCTCACAATACCCTAGCTCCGAAACCACGCGTCAGCCTTTCAACCAACCACCACCCCACCAGTGCTTCGCCCGACCTCCCAAGCCATTAACTCCCAAACTCATGTTGGATTCAGAGCCCTGCACACTCGACACGCAATGCACTTTAAGGCCCCCGGGGGCGGTTGGTATTGCCGACCCATGGTACCCCAGCAGGAACCCCCCTACAGGCCGCAGCAGGTTCCGCTAACCCCCCACCCCCCAGGGTAGACCCCAACTACCAGCTACCAACTACCAACTACCGAACTGGGCCCATTCGGTGTGTTAACCGTTGGCGAGGAAGGAGACCTCGAAGCCCTCGTGTCAAAATATAACCCCAACCCCACCTGTGCCACGTCCGCCAGCCTCCTGTCCTGCAGCAGCGACCACTCCGGGTGACCAGCCCACAGCTCCGCCAGCTGGGGGTCAGACAGGTCCGCAAACCCACTGAGAAATTGGTTCACTAGGGCAGCGGTGCCAGGGGACTCGTCGCCGCCGCCGCCGCCGCCGCCGCCGCCAGCTCCGCCCCCAGCTCCGCCGCCGCCACCGCCGTTGCTTGGGCCGGTAGTGGGTAGCAGCGTGTCGCCGTCCACCGACGGCCTCCCCGCCTCCCACCGCCGCCTCATCGTGGAGCCCGGGGCCTCGGGTCCAGAGGCGAGCCCCCCTCCGGACATGCCGAGGAGGGAGGCGGAAGGGGAGGTGGAGGCGACGAATCCGGGGTCCGTTCCTAGACGCAGGTTCCCCTGCGACCGGCTGTTGGTGACCGAGCCGGCTGCAGGGTTGCTGTTGGAGCCGGGGGGGAGGTTGAGGCTGTTGTTGCAGCCCGGGGTTCCGGAGCCTTGAGTGGGTGCAGGAGGAGGAGAAGGAGCAGCGGCAGCAGCAGCAGCAGCAGCGGCAGCAGCAGCT